GGTCTGCCGGGGTGCCGGGAGCAGCTGGGGGCTCGGGAACTGCCCCCCGCAGCAGCTTTTCCAAACCTGTGGGAGAAGCAGCCCGCCAGGCGGGCAATCTCGTACTGAACGCTCTATGTCGAGCATTCTGGCCGCCCCTCGGCCGAGCTCTGCTTCCGAACTCGCGCGGCACTCGTGTTGCAAGTACTTCCTCCTCCTCCTCCTCCTCCTCGTCGTCCTCCTCCTCCTCATCCTCCCCCTCCTCCTCCTCCTACTCCTCCTCCTCCTCCTCCTCCTCCTCTTTCTCCTCCTCCTCTCCTCCTCCTCACTCTCCTCCTCCTCCTCCTGCTCCTCCTCGGGATCCAGGGGCCTTAATTAAGTTCAGACCTCGCAGGCCTCGAGTTCGGAAGAGCGAGCACCCCTCCCCTGCGGCATGGCGCTCGATCAGCGCCTGCGCCTCTTGTCGGCCTCATCGCCCAGCTTGCCCATGCGCTTGTTGCCGCCGACCGAGCTGCCGCCGTCGCCGATCGCCTCGTGCCCCGCGAGGGTCTGCTTGAGCTTCAGCTCGAGCTTGCCCTTGAGATCCTGCGGTCTCTCTCTCTCTCTCTCTCTCTCTCTCTCTCTCTCTCTCTCTCTCTCTCTCTCTCTCTCTCTCTCTCTCTCTCTCTCTCTCTCTCTCTCTCTCTCTCTCTCTCTCTCTCTCTCTCCTCCTCTCTCTCTCTCTCGCTCCTCTTCTCTCTCGTCTCTTCTCTCTCTCTCCTCTCTCTCTCTCTCTCTCTCTCTCTCTCTCTCTCTCTCTCTCTCTCTCTCTCTCTCTCTCTCTCTCTCTCTCTCTCTCTCTCTCTCTCTCTCTCCTCTTGGGGCCGCCTTGGACCGCTGTCTCGGGCCCTCATCGGACCTCTCCAAACCCCATTGGCAAGTGCCTGGGAATGCGGAGGTCCGGGTCGGATCCAAGACTGCTGTCCAAGACGGCCAACCACGCGTTGAAATTTGGGGTTCGCTTTCGACCCTCGCCGACTAGTGCCCCTTGGGGCCCAGGTCTGCCCGTAGCTCCTCCCCCTCCTCCTCCAAGCCCCTCGAGGCCACAAAAATTGGGGGGCCCCAGTGGGGGGGGTGGGAGGGTGAGAGGCGGAGTAGGAAGAGGAGGAGCTCGAGGAGGAGCTCGAGGAGGAGGAGGAGGCGAAGGGAGGGCGAGGATCAGGAGGAGGAGGATCAGGAGGAGGAGGAGGTGGAGGAGGAGAAGGGCGAGGAACTCCAGCTTGCTCCCCAGGCCTTCGTGTCCGAGATCAGCGTGGCGCTGCCCGTGATGATGTCGGCGGCCTCCATGCTCTTGGTGACCTCACCCGAGAAAGACGGGAAATGGTGATGAAGATGAGGAGGAGGAGGAGGAAGAGGAGGAGGAGATGGAGGAAGAGGAGGGGGGGAGGAGGAGGATAAGGAGGAATGAGGAGGAGGAGGAGGAGGAGGAGGAATGCGGAGGAGGAGGAGGAGGAGGAGGAGGAGAAGGAGGAGGAGGAGGAGGATGAGGAGAGGTTCCAAGAAGGTTCGAGGAGGGGGAGGAGGAGCAGGAGGAGGAGGAGGGGGAAGAGGGGGGGATCCAAGCCTTGGAAGGCTCAGTGCCGCGCAGCAGAACTCCGCGAGCTTGTTGGCCTTCAGCTTGGCTTCGGTGTTCTCCACCAGCGTGCTCAGCTCGCCCTGCACCGCATCGGTCTTCGCCCACTGCCAGTCCCCCTTGCCGCTCTTGATAGAATCCAGGATCTGGGTCGCGCTCATCACCTTCACGTTGGGCTCCTTGATGTGCTTCACTGCGTTAGCCAACGCCTCCGCGCTCTCGCTCTTCGGCCTGGGCGCTGGCCTGGGCGGCGGCGCAGGGCTGCCGCCGCCTGGCTCCGTCCTCGGAGCAGGAGCTGGTACATCTGGCGCCGTGCCCTGGGACTTCTTCATCTCGAACCTGGTCCTGAACGCCTCCTTGTTCTGCTGCTTGAAATGCATGTACTTCACGATCTTGGTGTCGGGGTCCATGCGCGCGTATGGAAACCCCATGGCCAAACATTTCTTCGCAGCCTCGGCGCACCCCTCGATGGTCTCGGGATCCGTCTGCCCTGCTGGGCCGCCTTCCTCGTACAGCATCCTCAAGAATGTCACTGGCGTGCCCTGGCTGAGGAGTTCATCCTCACTCTCCTTGTAGACCGTCTTGCACTCGCTGATGCGTGCCTTGATCTGTTTCTGCGCCCACTCCTGCTTCAGCGCGTCCTTCTGGCTAGCGAGGTCCCACCGCTTCTTGAACTCCTTCTGCTCGTCTGTCTGCGGCGACTGAAGCTCGCGCGACAAGCGGTTGCCAAGCGCTGACCTCATCTCGAAAGGAGCTGCGAAGTCCGAGTCGGAGTACTTCCTCAGTTCCTCGTCGCCCTTGCGGAAACGGTCGGACTTCCTGATCCAGTCGACGTTCGCGGCCTCGTCGGGTTCTTCTTGAGGGCCCAGTTGCTTGCTCTTGTCGACGGTCTCAGCGATATACTGCAACGTCTGCAACGCGGCCCTGGCTTTATCGGGTGCAAGCTCCTCCTGCTCTGCCGCAGCTGGCGTGGACGGCGTTCCTGGCTCGGATGCGCGAGCGAAGGTGCCGTCCTGGCTCGACTTCATGGTCATCAGTCTCTGCGTGGCTGCAGCCAGCTTTGCACGTGCTGCGGAAAGAGTGTTGTTCGGCTTGCTGTCGGCATCGTTGCTGCGGGTCGCGGAGCCCTCAGTCGGCGCGCGATCGAGCTCCTCGTAGACCAGCGTGTCGCCTCGACCCCCTTCGAGGGGAAGCGGCTCGACCTTGCGCTTCGCATTCTTGGCTTCCTCCTCAGCTGATTTGCGCTTCCCCTCGGCCTCCTCTCTCAAGACCTCCGCATGAGCGATATCATCCATGATCTTCTCGTGGTCCAGCCGCTTCTGCCTCAACTGCTCCTCCGTCGCATCCAGCTCCTGTTTCGCAGCCGCAACTTTTCCCAGAAGAAGTTCATGCTCTTCATTGGCCTCCTGCCTCCTGGCCATCTCCTTCTCGAACTGCTCATTGAACTGCTCTGTCATCTCGTTGATCTGCTTCTTGGCCTCCTCGACATCAGCCCAGCCTTTTTGCGCCTCCTTCTCGTACTGCTTCTTGATCTCCAGCAGGTCCTGCGTCTCCTTCTCGATGTTCTGTTTCGATCTCCTCGGCCCTGGCGACAGCGGAGCATCGTCCTGCAGCTGCTCTACCCTCTTCATTTTGTCCATGAGATCGAGGAGCTGATGCGCGACCTTATCCCTCTCCGTCTCGGCGTCCTGCATCTCCTGCTTGAGCTGATTCGTCAGCTTAATGGCGTTCGCGGCATCCTCCTCCAAGCTCGTGAGCTCAGCCATCTTGATCTTCACGCGCTCCTCAAGCAGCTCGAGCTCACCCAGGGCCTGCGAGCAAGCGCTCGGGCCCTCTGCGAAGTCCTCGTCGGCCACTGTCAGGGTAGTAGCGTCCGACGTCTGCGCCTTCTCCTCCTCGGCGGGGGGGCTGCCGCCGACCTCGATCGTCGCAGCGCGCGCTGGCGCACCTAGCAGAACAAAAAAGGAGGAGGGGGGGGGGAGGGGGATGGGGGGGGGGAGAGGGAGGGGCCGACATCAGCGGTGATCAGCGGTCTCCGCTGATCACCGCTGAGCTCACGCGCCTCTCTGCTGCGATGGCGGCGAGCGGAGTTTACCGGCTACCCCCCCCATCTCGCTCTGGGCCCCCTCACCCTCCAGAGTAGCATTCTAAAGGTGTTCGTGTCCAGAAAACCAGCAGAAGATGCCGCAGCAGTCTCCATGGAATGCCTGGCCCACGGCTGGGGGCGGATGCCGACTTTCGAAGTCAAGACGCCTCGAGCCGTCGAGGCTGCATGCGGATCGAGTCCGAGGGGGCGGGGGGCAGGGGCCCACGGGGGAGGGAGATCGAGGAGCCATTTGGCGGGGGCGGGGGGCAGAGAGGCCCAAGGATGACTTACGTCGCGCGATTCGCGCGCATCTTCGCGCCCTGAACCCCTGGATCCAAGCGATAGCATTCTAAAGGTGTTTGCGTCCAGAAAACCAGCAGAAGATGCCGCGGAACTCTCCATGGAATGCCTGGCCCACGGCTGGGGGCGGATACCGACTTTCGAAGTCAAGACGCCTCGAGCCGTCGAGGCTGCATGCGGATCGAGTCCGAGGGGGCGGGGGACAGGGGCCCACGGGAGAGGGAGATCGAGGAGCCATTTGGCGGGGGCGGGGGCAGAGAGGTCCAAGAATGACTCACGTCGCGCGAGTCGCGTGCATCTTCGCGCCCTGAACCCCTGGATCCAAGCGATAGCATTCTAAAGGTGTTTGCGTCCAGAAAACCAGCAGAAGATGCCGCGGAACTCTCCATGGAATGCCTGGCCCACGGCTGGGGGCGGATACCGACTTTCGAAGTCAAGACGCCTCGAGCCGTCGAGGCTGCATGCGGATCGAGTCCGAGGGGGCGGGGGACAGGGGCCCACGGGAGAGGGAGATCGAGGATCGAGCCATTTGGCGGGGGCGGGGGGCAGAGAGGTCCAAGGATGACTTACGTCGCGCGATTCGCGTGCATCTTCGCGCCCTGCACCCCTGCATCCAAGCGATGCGCGAGGCGCGATGATCTTCTCGCTCTGTCGGGTGGCGCTCGCCCACCCGCCACGTTGCAGCCCCCCCCATCGCCCCTCTTGTTAAATGACCGCCACCCTTGGATGCATGCATTCGCATGGCATCGATTTTCAAAGTGGGGCGGGGGAGGGTTAAAAAATACGAACGCCCACGATCCAAAACCCCTGCCCCTCCATCGAGAAGGGCATGGGGGGTGACGCAGTCTTGCCATCCCCACCCGCACCTCCCAAACATTTTAAGACTACATGGGGGTCTCCATGACTAGAGCTGCAATCCCCCTTGCAACGATCCACGATCCCCCCAAGTTCATCCCTTTCAGTTTTTTCGCCAGCATGCTAGCTGCTGTGCGAGGGCATGCCGCTCGAGCAGCCCCCGAACTCCAACTGCGGGAACTCGCAGTCGGACGGCTCGTCGAGCTTCTCGGGGTTCGGCTTCACGACGGCGGGCTTCTCGGGGTTCGGCTGCACGACGGCGGGCTTCTTGTCAACAGCTGCTGGCTTCCTCTTGGTCCTCACCCTCTTCCGTGGCGGCTCCTCTGGCTGTTCTTCGTCCTCCTCCTCCTCCTCGTCATGCTCTGGTGCCTCCTCCTCCTCTGCCTCAGGGTCTGCGCCTTCGTCATCGCCCTATTCGTCTCCGTCTGGCTGCTCCTCCTCCTCCTCCTCCTCTTCTTTCTCCTCATCGGCTTCCTCCTCATCGTCTGCGTCCTCGGTCTTTCCAGCTGGCCTCTTTCCTACTGCCGCTGGTTTCTTCTTGGCGCCAACGTGCTTTTCCTCCTCTTCCTCCTCGGCATCCTCGCCCTTCTGCTCCTCGAGCTCGCCAGCAGCTGCAGGCCTCCTCAAGCACGGCGCGGCAGCAGGCCTCTTCAAGACGTTCTGCCTGCGCTCATCCTCTTTCAGTTTCTTTGCCTCCTTCGCGTCGTCTATCGTCATGCTGCCGTGGCAGAGTTGACCTGCGACTGTCGCCATCCACTCTGTGCATTCTTCCTCAGGTAACGTCTTGAATGCCATTTGAAGCTTCTGGCTCCCGTTCAGCTTGATCACCATGCCTGGATTTCCAGGATCTAAAAGCTTCCTGACCACGACCACCTTGATGCCGTCCGTCGTCGTTCCGCTGAACAGCGCCTCTGACTTGCTGGCACTGCCTCGTTGTCCCTCTGCAGCTGCCTGCTGGCCTTTCCAAGCGCTCACGGACAAGGTGTCCAAGACCGCTTCGTACCCGTCATCCCAGAGGGCCCAGCAGAACGCGCAACCTGGCTTCTCGAAGATCTTGTCCGTCACATCTGGAGCCTTGCCGCCGCTGCGCCACCTGAGCGCGATCTGCTTGTCCGCGTCGTACGCCACGTCCTCGACCACCACGCGCTTGGCCGCGCTGGCAGCTGAGCTGCCACAGCTCTTGCTGCGGTGCGGGCTGCGCGCACCCTCATCGAGCTTCCCCTGGAGCTCGCGCAACTTGCGAATCCAAGCTGGCCTCCTGCCGTGCTGCTTCTCCGTCCTGATCGGGTCGTAGAGGTGCCTGCACATGCTCCGCAACCTTGGGTTGTTCTCTAAGAGCAGAGTTCGCGTCCTCCCCCCCCCTCCTCCTCCTCCTCCTCCTCCTCCTCCTCCTCCTCCTCCTCCTCCATTCCCTCACACCGTGAGGACGCTCACCATGCCGCGCCCCTTCATTCACCCTAAGTTGGAGAAAAAGGCCCCAAACCCCAATAGCAAGAGGCAGAAAAAGTTGCAGAAGTTGCAGAATGAGACAAGCACCCAGGAAGTTGGGCAAGTGGATGATGGACGCGAGCAAGCAGAAGAACAACAACGCCTACAACAACTGGAGGAAGCACGATGGGAAGCACTCACACCATGGGGTTGGCAAGGTTTTCCTGTGGAGCAGAAGGTCAGAAATAATTGTGATGATGCAGAAGTGGGCCCGTTTGGCGAAATCGAGAATGAGATGGACCCAGGACCAGCCACAGCTGAACAACAACTGGAAGCGATGGGCGGCGAGACCGACACGGACGAAGGGGAGCTAGATGGATCGAAAGGTCAGGAACTCCATGTCGACACGCTGGATGACACGAATGGCCGAGACCCCCATGTCGCCACGTCGGGCAGCTCGAACAGTCGGGGCCTCGCTGTCAACACGTCGATAGATAAAGGTCAGGACATCAGGGCTACCAACCTCCCCACCATGTGCATGGACGATATTTGGACAGGTATTGCTCTGCAACCCCACGACCATCGAGAACGTGAAGGACCACCAGATGAAATCAGGAAGAGTGCATCGTTCCTAGCCACGGAGACGGAGGCGATGTCCTTAGGCACGCAGTTCGCGAAGCTGATGCAGAACATGGAGGACTTCTACTGCACCGCCTACAAAGTTCCTCTGAAAGATCGAAAGATGTTCTGTGGGAGAGGTGGAAAACGAGAGCTGAAGATTAAGGAAGTCAAGGAATATGGACAAAGATACCCAAGGTTTGCGGACTACAAGGCGGATTGGTGGAATAGAACAGCAAATACCTTGAACACGATCGTGCAGCTCTCAAAGAAGCACAAGGGCAGCGAGATGATCAAGAACGCAGCCAAGACGTGCAGATATCTGGCGATAGAAGGGCTACCACCACTGGGCAGAAATCCATCGGCGACGGCCAAGCTGCACAGGAATATATGGAAAGACCGCCTCCTGAACATCGAGAAGCAGGACATCCCCATCCTGGAAGGAATGCAAGCACAAGCAGAAGAACAAGCTGGGAAAGCCCTGAAGGAAGACCTGGCGAAAGGAAGACGAGCCTACACCAAGTGGCTCCAAGACACGGCCAAGGAGAAGCCAGGTACGATTCACCGCATCACCAAGGACGCGAAAAGGTACGAGCAGGAAGTGTTACAGGACAACATGAAGAAATACTCACCGACAAGCAGGATTGATGCGAAGGCCAAAACGTTCAAGGAACTCTGGAGAGAAGGACATGATGATGCAGACGTACAACTCCTCAAAGACCTTAGACAGGCAGCGCAAGCAGAAGAACCACGCACGTGGACGCTAGAGGAGATGGACCAAGCTATTCGAGGAGCACCAGACCGAGGGAAAGGAGTGGACCAAATGTGCATGACGGACCTGAGAAGATTGCCTACACAGGGACGTCAGGAGTTCGTGGACATGTACAACAGCTGCGAGATGAGTTTGGCCTGGCCGTGGCAGATACTAGAAGCTATTGTCATGTTAGAACCCAAAGGGGAAAGCCAACCTGGGCCTTCGTCTTTGAGTACAGGTGGCGATAGGGCGCTGGCGCTACTCAGCTGGATGGGCAGATGCTGGGAATTGCTGAACCGAGAAGTTGTCCGAGATTGGGTCCGAGAAGTTCAGCAACCATGGGACGCAGCAGTACCTGGACAAAGCTGTTTGAGAGAAGCGATGGTCAGGTCGATTGGCGATGAAACAGCAGACGCAGTTGGGGCAGCTACAGCGGGAGGCCTAATCGACATCGAGCGATTCTGCGACAGTGTAGAGTTTAACTATGCAGTCAGAGCGGCCCGATATCACAAATTCCCTCTACGTATTTTGGCCATGACAATGCTACAGCATCTAACATCACGGCTGCTACGCCAAGAAGCATGCTACAGTGAAAGGATGCTGGCAGGAAGATCATTATTGGCAGGATCACGACATAGTAATAATGTAGCACGAGCTCTGGTATACGTTCCGGTCATCAGCCACCTCCACGAAGCGCCGAGAAGTACACCGAGAATTTGGTTCGATGATATCAGCCTGCGTGCTACAGGCAGTGTGAGAGCAGTGGAGGACGACATCGTGGAACATATCAGTTCACTGCACCACAACCTCAAGGAGCAGAACCTGAACATGGCGGACAAATCAGTGGTATTCGGACCCTCAGCCAGGATCACGAAGAACATTGTCAAGAAGCTACATAAAAAGGGCATTAAAGTGAAGGCAGTTCGAGAAGGGCGAGACCTTGGACTTGAACGAGCAGCAAAAATGCCAAGAACCAGAACAACACATGAAGCACGAGTACGTAAAGCACGGAAGAGATTCCACCTCGTCGGGAAGAAGCTGAGGAAGTTGGGCGCCAAGCCGATCATGAGGGTATTGGAACAAGGAGCAATGGCATCACTACTTTATGGAGCCAGGGCATCCGGATGTCCACCACGCGAAATCAAGATGACGAGAAGACAATACGCGAAAGCATTGAGGGGACCATGGACGGGAAGATGTTTGAGTACCTTACTCGCGATAGAAGGCAAAGATCCAGGCATCACCATCCCGAAGGCGCAGATCAAGGCTTGGTTCGATATGTGGGCGAGACATCCCGAAATACACGCAGCAGTGGAACGAGCTTGGCCCAAAATATACAGCAGATTGGAGAAGGTGGCAATAGGTGCACGTTGGAAAGCCAGAAGAGGTATTATTGGGAGTCTTATCTTACAATTATGGGAGATTGGATGGGACGCACATTCACCAACCACGTGGACAGATAGCGAAGGCGATACATGGGCGATGGGACAAGGCTATGAAGCGGACCCTACTGAAGTAATAGACCACATGATGAAGGACGTGGAAAAGAAGATCTGGAGAAAAGCCGCGCAGCACCGACATGGAAAAGGCTTAGAAGACGGCGCGGACGTGACAGACATCAAGAAGCAGCTGAACACACTACAAAAGAAAGGTCGTCATCAGGAATTCGGAGCTCTACTGGTATCAGTTTGCGTGGGCACGTGGACAGGAGCACGAAAAGCAGAAACATTCGGTGGAGAAGGAGTCTGTAGTTGTGGCAAGCCAGATACAGAGTTCCACCGACTTTGGGAAGATTGCGGAGAAAAAGAAGATCACATAGACTACGAAGATTCTCAACACTTGCTTCAAAGAGCTCAAGAAGGAGCTGAGTCGATGCCGGCATTCCGGATACGTGGAATCCCTCCCAAATCATGGACCACACCGCCTGCATGCGACACCATAGACCAGATCAGCTTCGAGAACGACACACAACCACGACTGGTGGGAACAATGCAGCAACCTTTATGTATATGTGGAGACGGCAGTGGTGGAGAGTATGCGAGCGATCCAAGGTACCGAAGATGTGGATGGGCATGGATTGAAGTACACGCCAGTGAATTATCCAGCCGTGGAAGCAACAAAGGACCCTTGCCAGGCCCGAGACAATCCAATAATCGAGCAGAAATGTATGCCATGATCGACGCGCTGATCCAGACAAAGGGGCCGATGACATTCTGGACAGACTCTGATATTCTGAATAAAGGCTGGCAGAAGAAGATGTACCATATGAAGGCATTCCTCGGTGGCAACGCTGACCTCTGGCACAAGATGGGCAAGGCACTTGAAGCACGAGGGGCAGATGAAGACGAAGTACTAGTAAGACACATCCAAAGTCATCTCAGCCAAGAAGAAGCAGAATTACAAGGGTACCCACTACAAGCATGGTGGGGCAACAAACAGGCCGACGTACTTGCTGGAGAGGCTGCGGATGAACACGCTATTCCACGAGGACAAATGGATTGCTATGAATGGGTCAATGCCGTGGGTACGCTGATAAGAAGACGCATGTACAGATCCACCCTCCAAGCGATCAGCAAGAACCCCTCGATGATCATGGAAGACAAGGAGCTCAAAAGAAAACAGAAGCAATACGAGAAAGACCAGCTGAAGGAAAAAGAAGACATCGAGGAGCTGATCAAGAACTTGCTGCATGTGCTCTCCCATAGGAATAGTCTGTGGCATTGTAAAGCCTGCGCAGAGTCGTGTGTGGACTACACGAAAAAAGATGCGCTGAAGACCTGGCTAAAGAAAAAGTGCGCAGGCCACTCGGCAGGGACGAGAAACCACAAGCATCAAGTCCAAGCTGGAGGTCATCGCACACACGGAAGTCATGATATGCGACGCGCAGTTCGGGCAAAGAGATGGTTCTGCTGGAACTGTGCAGCGAGTTTCGACGGTGAAGGTAAATGCAGAATCGGTGGCAAGCTAATTGAATCATGTGAAGGACGAGCCTCGAAAGGCATGGAGCACAAGCTGAAAGCGTTTCGAAACCAAGCAGAACGGTGGGACCTGGCCCTGGACCCTAGGGGGACCCTAGGGGAGGACCCTAGGGGGAGGCGCCCAGGACCTGCACGACAAGACGGAAAGCCACAGAAGACACAAGCCATTTTGGCGAGGATGCCGCGGAAAGGAGGCCACAAAGCACCTCAGCCGCGAGCAGGGGCGAAGACAGCAGTACTACCCGACGCGCACCAGACGCAGTGGGAGAAGTGAAGGAGGTGGCACCGTGCCGCCTCGCGGGGAGGCCCCCAGCCCGCAGGGCCGAAGGGGGGGCCACCCGTGCCCCGTGTGGCATACGGGGCCGCCGAGTCCAGCCTGGACCCAAGGCGATCGTCAGAAGACCTGGGGCCTGCAGGAGCAGGACAGGCCCCAAAAGGGCTGGGGGCGACAGGGGCAGGGTCGCCGCTCAGTCGCAAAGATAGGGCACCTGCAGGAGCAGGGCAGGTGCCCTAAAAGGTCTGGGAGCGACAGGAGCAGGGTCGCTGCCCAGTCGCAAAGCGGGCCCTCGGCGGCGCGGCAGTCATGCCAGCGCCGCCGAGGCTGTCAGCATTGCTGCCGCCGCACGGGCAAAAGGGCCTGTGCGCGGTAGAGTGGGTGGGGGCGCAAAGGTGTCCCGCGACCCACCAGCGACCACCAGAGATCACTGATCCCAGGGAAATCTTGGAAAAAAATCCTCCCCCCTGCTGTTTCTCCCTCCTCCTCCTCCCCCTCCTCCTCCTCCGCCTCCTCCTCATCCTATTCCTCCTCCTCGCTCTCTCTGGGCCCATGGGGTCGCAAACTCGGCTCTTAAAGAAACTACCCGCTCGCCTCTTGGCGCTCTCCTCGGCCCATCTCTCCTTGGCGGAGCTGTCCATGGCGAAGCGTTCCGACGCCACGTGCATCATCGCCTGCTTCGTCGCCTCCTGGTTGAAACTCAAGTTGGCCTCGAGCTCCTCGAGGTCCTTCAGCAGCTCTGCTTTCTCGTGCACCGCGGTGATGCACTTGTCGCAGAACTTGTCCGCGCCTGGTCTGTTCCCGTAGTCTAGCCACGATGCTCTCGTGATGTGCTTGTGCAACACCTCCTTCAGCGCCTCCAGGTCGCCGCACCGCTGCCTGGCGTCAGCCCTAGCCATCGGCCCAGGCCACCAGCCGCGCCCCGCGAGGGCGCGCGCGTGGCCCTCAACCAAAGTGGCGAGGACGGCACGGGGGGGGGGAGATCCGAGGTGGGAGTTCTCTTCCTGGGTTCGGCGTTTTTCTCCATGGGTTCTCCCCCATCGTCGTCTCCTCCTCCTCCTCCTCCTCCTCCTCCTCCTCCTCCTCCTCCATCCTGCTCATGTTCCTCCTCCTCCTGGCGGTTTCGGGGGGGAACCTGAAACTTCAATCCGCGACTCTGGGCTGCAGGGTGGATGGCGGGCACAGTTCATTTTGACTGTGGCACTGGGGCCTTCGGTGGGGCTCCCTGTGGGACTACGAAACGCGTGAGGGGTGCGCTGAAATGTGTACAGTATGATTTCGAGTATTAAAATGGTATACGGTAACATGCTAATTGTGTAATATAATCATATGTACTATGAATAATATATTGCCATTTGTATGTGCTATATGTATATGTGTGCCATGTAGATAGTGCATATATATATTAGTGTATATGTGTACTATGTGTTATATATAGTACTATATATTATATATCATAATATGTACAATGTACTATATAAGATGTACCATGTGTATATTATATATAGACATATATATATAGATGCGGTGTACTACATATTGTAAGCATCGTATATCGTACTACATATGTGCACTATATATATATATATATATATATATATATATATATGTAGCACGTGTTCGAATCCTGACAAACGATGTATGTACAATGTATATGTATTATAAAGCGAGCATGTTATATGATAATGCAGCTATTTTAAATTTTCACAGCTATTTTAAGACGCCACAGCTATTTTAACCGAGCAGCTTAGTTTAAGCGGTAACCTGTGTAATAGCAAGTCCCACTCCTCAGGGAAGACGGCCCCGGAGAGCCCGGGCACGCTTAAAGATGGGCCCAAGACGCCCGAGATTCGCCCCAGACGGCCCAAGAGGCGTCCAAGACGCCCGAAGAGGCCTCCCAAGAGGCCTCCCAAGAGGGCCCCGAGCGACAGAAATCGTCGATTTCTATTGTGTTTTTCGATGTTTTCGGCCTCCTCGCCTCTTCGGCTTCCCGACGCTCCAAGACGGCCCAAGAAGTCCCCCCGACCGCTCCAAGACGGCCGAAGAGGACCCCAAGAGAGCCCCAAGACGGGCCAGGAGGGCCCCAAGACGGTCCCAAGACGCCCCAGGACGGCCCCAGGACGGCCCAGGAGGCGCCCAAGACGGCCCAAGAGGCACCCAAGACGGCCCCAGGAGCGGCCCAAGACGGCCCAAGACAGCCCAAGAGGCGCCAAGGCGGGCCTCAGACGGCCCCAAGACGGCCCAAGAGGCACCCAAGACGGCCCGAGAGGGCCCTAAGAGCCCCCCCGGGAGGCCCAAAAGAAGGCCGAAGAGGCTCCGAAACGGCCCCTACGAAGCCTTCAGTGCCTCCAGAATTCCCTCCAGGAGCGGGGGAGCGGACGAGAGGCGACAGGCATATCGCAGGCAACAACCCCCCAAGAGATCCCCAAACGGCCCCCACGAAGCCCTAAGTGGCCTCAGAATTGCTTCCAGGAGGGGGGGAGCCCGACGCCATCATGATTGCCTTTCGGCCCTGCAGCCGCACCCCCCCGCGCTTGCCCAGAGACCCCTCGCCACGTCGAGCTGATGTCGTGGACGGAGTCCACAGGTCTGCCCTAGTCAGCTACAGCGCTGGGATCAGCGCGTGCGAGAAGGGCGAGCAGTGGCAACGGGCGCTGGCGCTGCTGAGCGAGATGCGGGAGGCGAAGCTGGAGCCCGATCGTCTGTACTACAATTCTGGGCGAAGCGCGCGCGAGAAGTACAAGCAGTGGCAGCGCCCCGGGCCGCCCAGAGAGCTCGCGGGCCGCCTGGAGAGCCTCCAGGCCGCTGCCCGACGGGCCCGGGAGGCCCCCGGACCGCTCGCGGACTGATCCAGGATTCCCAGATCGCCCCAAGACGGTCTCAGGAGGTCCCGAAGACGGCCCAAGACGGTCTAAGAGTGTATCCGAGACGCTGACGATGGCTTCAAGACGCCTTCAAGACGGCCCGAGACGCCTCCACGAGGCCCCCAGAGCGCTCGAAGTGTACCTCCAAGAGGGGCCGTAGAAGCCAAAATCGTAGATTTTCTTAGCTTTTTCCCATGTTTCTGGCCTTCTCGCTTTTTCGGCTGTCCGACGCTCCACGGCCGCTCAAGAGGCCCCCAAGACCGTTCCAAGACGGCCCAAGAGGCCTTCAAGACGGCCCCAAGACGGCCCAAGAGGGCCCCAAGACGGCCCAAGAGTCGCCCAAGACGGCCCAAGAGGGCCCCAAGAAGGCCCCAAGAGGGGCCCAAGACAGGGACCCGGAACCGAAAATTCGAGGCCTCCACCCCAAGAGGCCCTCAGGAAGCCCCAAGACGCCCCAAAGAAACGCCGGGACGCTCCCAAGACTTCCCCAGGAGGCCCCCGGACGCCCCAAAGAGGACCCAAGAGGCCCCAAGACGCCCCCAAACTGCTACCAAGAAGCCCCCAAACTGTCTCCCAGAGGCTCCCGAGAGGCCAACCACGAGATCCCAACCAACATCCACGAGATCTCTAGCCCGCGGCGAGATTGCCCGCAGGCCAATACAGCCGGTTCGGGGGCCCTACGTATCCCAGCACCGCACCCTTGGCTGTATCGATGCAGGGCCCTGGGGGGCCGAAACCTCGGGAAACTCAGATCGTCTTGAGCGGTGTCCAAGGCCTGGCGCAGTGGAATGGCCAGAACCTTCGGATTTTCGCTAACCGCGGAGAGGCCGGGCGCGATTAGCGAAAAACCCGATGCTTTTTGAGACCTCCACGCCCGGCCTTAATCGGTTCCGATAGCCCTCTTGGGTCGGGCGCCTCGTGGGGCTGCTTGGGGCAATCTTGGGGGTGTGAGGCCGTCTCGGACCTCGCGTTGGGCTCCCGTGGGCGGCATCTGCGGCTGTGCTGGGCCCTGCTGGGGGTCACTTGAGGCTTCGGCGACGCGTGCGAGTTCGGGACAAACGCCTGGACCTGCGGGCCGTGGATTTCCCACGGGTTCACACTAATTAGTCAGCTACAGCGCTGGGATCAGCGCGTGCGAGAAGGGCGAGCAGTGGCAGCGGGCGCTTGCGATGCTGAGCGAGATGTGGGAGGTGAAGCTGGAGCCCGACGTCATCAGCTACAGCGCTGGGATCAGCGCGTGCGAGAAGGGCGAGCAGTGGCAGCGGGCGCTTGATCTGCTGAGCGCGATGTGGGAGGTGAAGCTGGAGCCCAACGTCATCAGCTACAACGCTGGGATCAGCGCGTGCGAGAAGGGCGAGCAGTGGCAGCGGGCGCTTGATCTGCTGAGCGCGATGTGGGAGGTGAAGCTGGAGCCCAACGTCATCAGCTACAACGCTGGGATCAGCGCGTGCGAGAAGGGCGAGCAGTGGCAGCCGGCGCTTGCGCTGCTGAGCGCGATGTGGGAGGTGAAGCTGGAGCACAACGTCGTCAGCAACAATGCCGCGATCAGTGCGTGCGAGAAGAGCGGGCAGTGGCAGCGGGCAATGGCGCTGCTCAGCGAGATGAGGGAGGCGAAGCTGGAACCCGACGTCATCAGCTGCAACGCCGGGATCGGCGCTTGCGAAAAGGGCGGGCAGTGGCAGCGGGCAGTGGCGCTGCTCAGCGAGATGAGGGAGGCGAAGCTGGAGCCAGACGTCATCAGCTGCAACGCCGGGATCAGCGCCTGCCAGAAAAGTGGGCAGTGGCAGCGGGCCCTGGCGTTGCTCGACGAGATGCGGGAGATGAATGTGTTGGCAGACGTCATCAGCTACAGGCTCGCAGTCAATGCGTGCGAGAAGGGCGGACATTGGCAGCAAGCTCTCTTCATGCTCAGGAGCATGTGCTTGAGAAGGCTCGATGCTGACTTTATTGCCTACGGGATTACAGCTGGCATGTGCGAGCAGGGCGGGCACTGGAGGCAGGTGCTGTCATTACACAGGGAGGTGCGCGGCTTGCTCGCAATGGAATGATGCAATGTATGCTACAGTGTATTCTCAAGGTGCGCCGCATAAAGCAAGCCTCTCAGCTGTAATGCTCGGATCAGCGAGTGCGACATCGGCGGGCAATGGCAGCGGGCTTTGGCGCTGCTGGGCAAGGGGTCGGAGGCGACGCCCGAACCCGACGACGTCATCTGCACTACAGTTCCCTGCGAAAAAAAAAACGTCGGGGGCCTTCAGACGCCTCCAGGAGTCCCCGGAGACCTCCTCAGGCCTCCAGAGACCTACCTCCAGGGACCTTAAGAGGCGGCCGTCGTGGTCGTCCTCGTCCTCGTCCTCGTTCTCTTCCACGTCGTCGTCGTGGTCATCTTCCTCGTCCTCGTCGTCGTCTCCGTCCTCGTCATCCTCATCCTCATTGTCGACGTCGTCGTCGTCGTCGTCGTCGTCGTCGTCGTCGTCGTGGTCGTCGTCCCCGTCCTCGTCCTTGTCCTCGCCCGTGTCCTCAACGTCGGGGGCCTTCAGACGCCTCCAGAGGCCCGGAGACCTTCAGAGGCGGCTGTCGTCGTCCTCGTCCTCGATTCCATCGTCGTCCTTGTCCTCGGCTCCGTCGTCATCTTGTCCCTCGTCCTCGTCCTGGTCCTCCTCGCCCTCTTCGTCCTCGTCCTCGTCGTCGTCGTCGCCGAGGGCCTCGAACGGCCTCCAGACGCCTCCAGAGGTCTCAGGAGACCTCCGTAGGCCTCCAGAGACCCCGGGAGACCTTCAGAGGCGGCCGTCGTGGTCATCGCGGTCGTCGTCCTCGTCGTCGTCGTCGTCGTCGTCGTTGTCCTTGTCGTCCTCGTCCTTGTCGTCGTGGTCCTTTTCCGCGTCGTCGTCGTTCGCGTCGTCCTCGTCATCGTCCTTGTCGTTATCCTCAGCCTCGTTCTCGTCCTCGTTGTCGTCGTGGTCCCCTTCCCCGTCCTCGTCCTCATCCTCATCCTCTTCGTGGTCGCCGTTAGCGTCGTCGTCATCGTATGGCGCTCGGGCGCCCTCGTCGTCCAGCAAACACCAGCACAGAGCAACGCTCGAAGGAGGGTGTGGGGGAACAAAAAAACCACTGTACACGATGGTTCACGTTTGCACTGCGCAGTACAAAGGCGATGTGGTGCACGCCGCTGCGGCGCCCCCTCCCCCCCCGCCTACCCCCCATAACGCGTGTTGTGGCCGCGGCGAAGTGAAGGCGTTCGGGGGAAACGAAGGAACCATGTTCGAGTAGCCATCCACTACAGCCGGTTCGGGGGCCCTACGTATCCCAGCACCCGCACCCTTGGCTGTATCGATGCAGGGCCCTGGGGGGCCGAAACCTCGGGAAACACAGATCGTCTTCGGTGTCTAAGGCCTGGCGCAGTGGAATGGCCAGAACCTTCGGATTTTCGCTAATCGCGGAGAGGCCGGGCGCGATTAGCGAAAAACCCGATGCTTTTTGAGACCTCCACGCCCGGCCTTAAATCGGTTCCGATAGCCCTCTTGGGTCGGGCGCCTCGTGGGGCGGCTTGGGGCAATCTTGGGGGTGTGAGGCCGTCTCGGACCTCGCGTTGGGCTCCCGTGGGCGGCATCTGCGGCTGTGCTGGGCCCTGCTGGGGGTCACTTGAGGCTTCGGCGACACGTGCGAGTTCGGGACCAACGCCTGGACCTGTGGGCCGTGGATTTCCCACGGGTTCACACTAATTAGTCAGCTACAGCGCTGGGATCAGCGCGTGCGAGAAGGGCGAGCAGTGGCAGCGGGCGCTTGCGATGCTGAGCGAGATGTGGGAGGCCAAGCTGGAGCCCGACGTCATCAGCTACAGCGCTGGGATCAGCGCGTGCGAGAAGGGCGAGCAGTGGCAGCGGGCGCTTGATCTGCTGAGTTCGATGCGGGAGGTGAAGCTGGAGCCCAACGTCATCAGCTACAACGCTGGGATCAGCGCGTGCGAGAATGGCGAGCAGTGGCAGCGGGCGCTTGCGCTGCTGAGCGCGATGTGGGAGGTGAAGCTGGAGCCCAACGTCATCAGCTACAACGCTGGGATCAGCGCGTCCGAGAAGGGCGAGCAGTGGCAGCCGGCGCTTGCGCTGCTGAGCGCGATGTGGGAGGCGAAGCTGGAGCCCAACGTCGTCAGCAACAATGCCGCGATCAGTGCGTGCGAGAAGAGCGGGCAGTGGCAGCGGGCAATGGCGCTGCTCAGCGAGATGAGGGAGGCGAAGCTGGAACCCGACGTCATCAGCTGCAACGCCGGGATCGGCGCTTGCGAAAAGGGCGGGCAGTGGCAGCGGGCAGTGGCGCTGCTCAGCGAGATGAGGGAGGCGAAGCTGGAGCCAGACGTCATCAGCTGCAACGCCGGGATCAGCGCCTGCCAGAAAAGTGGGCAGTGGCAGCGGGCCCTGGCGTTGCTCGACGAGATGCGGGAGATGAATGTGTTGCCAAACGTCATCAGCTACAGGCTCACAGTCAATGCGTGCGAGAAGGGCGGACAGTGGCAGCAAGCTCTCTTCATGCTCAGGAGCATGTGCTTGAGAAGGCTCGATGCTGGCTTCATTGCCTACGGGATTACAGCTGGCATGTGCGAGCAGGGCGGGCACTGGAGGCAGGTGCTGTCATTACACAGGGAGGTGCGCGGCTTGCTCGCAATGGAATGATGCAATGTATGCTACAGTGTATTCTCAAGGTGCGCCGCATAAAGCAAGCCTCTCAGCTGTAATGCTCGGATCAGCGAGTGCGACATCGGCGGGCAATGGCAGCGGGCTTTGGCGCTGCTGGGCAAGGGGTCGGAGGCAACGCCCGAACCCGACGACGTCATCTGCACTACAGTTCCCTGCGAAAAAAAAAAACGTCGGGGGCCTTCAGACGCCTCCAGGAGTCCCTGGAGACCTCCTCAGGCCTCCAGAGACCTACCTCCAAGGACCTTAAGAGGCGGCCGTCGTGGTCGTCCTCGTCCTCGTCCTCGTTCTCTTCCTCGTCGTCGTCGTGGTCATCTTCCTCGTCCTCGTCGTCGTCTCCGTCCTCGTCATCCTCATTCTCATTGTCGACGTCGTTGTCGTCGTCGTGGTCGTCGTCCCCGTCCTCTTCCTTGTCCTCGCCCGCGTCCTCAACGTCGGAGGCTTTCAGACGCCTCCAGAGGCCCGGAGACCTTCAGAGGCGCCTGTCGTCGTCCTCGTCTTCGATTCCATCGTCGTCCTCGTCCTTGGCCCCGTCGTCGTCTTGTCCCTCGTCCTCGTCCTGGTCCTCCTCGCCCTCTTCGTCCTCGTCGTCGTCGTCGCCGAGGGCCTCGAACGGCCTCCAGACGCCTCCAGAGGTCTCAGGAGACCTCCGTAGGCCTCCAGAGACCCGGGAGACCTTCAGAGGCCGGCCGTCGTGGTCATCGCGGTCGTCGTCCTCGTCGTCGTCGTCGTCGTCGTCGTCGTCGTCGTCGTCGTCGTCCTTGTCGTCCTCGTCCTTGTCGTCGTGGTCCTTTTCCGCGTCGTCGTCGTTCGCGTCGTCCTCGTCATCGTCCTTGTCGTTATCCTCAGCCTCGTTCTCGTCCTCGTTGTCGTCGTGGTCCCCTTCCCCGTCCTCGTCCTCATCCTCATCCTCTTCGTGGTCGCCGTTAGCGTCGTCGTCATCGTATGGCGCTCGGGCGCCCTCGTCGTCCAGCAAACACCAGCACAGAGCAACGCTCGAAGAAGGGTGTGGGGGAACAAAAAACCACTGTACACGATGGTTCACGTCTGCACTGCGCAGTACAAAGGCGATGTGGTGCACGCCGCTACGGCGCCCCCTCCCCCCCCGCCTACCCCCCATAACGCTTGTTGTGGCCGCGGCGAAGTGAAGGCGTTCGGGGGAAACGAAGGAATCATGTTCGAGTAGTTAGCCATCCACCGTGGCGACCTGGGCCTGGGCATGCCTGGGGGGTGGTCTGTGTGGTCACCACTTGAGCGCCCCTGGGCCATCGCGGGGTGGCCGAGGGGAAACGGCCCCAGGCTTGAGTCGGGCATGTCCCTCTGCAGGAGGACTGCCCCAAAGTGGCAAACAAAGTGCTTGGGGACGATGTTTCGTGCTCTTTCGGCTATGTTCGTTCTTAGTGCCATTATCATGTTTCGTATGGATTCCAAACTTTGCCCGTAGGCGGACATGCCCGACCGAACCCCAGGCTCTGGAACGAGGAGGTGGCCGAGGAGGCGCAGCAGCTGGAGCGCGACCTGCACGTCCTCGAGGCGAGCTGCGAGCGGCTGGCTGCGGAGGGCGAGCGCTCCAGGAAGCCCCGCACCTCCCCCCCCCTCCCCTCCCCAGCCTCCCTCTGGCTCGCTCGGCCCCCCACAAGCTTCTGGGCTCGTGGCCCGCACTCTGGCTCGGGAAGGCTCGGGACCGCCGTGGCGCGAGACTTTCTGGGCTTGCGCCACGGCCGTCGCGGCTGGATGTGCGCGGACGAGCTCCGAGGCGGTCTGCCCAAGCGCGGTCGACCGAGCAGTTGTATGCGACGGTCGGTGCTCGTTGCTGTGGCGGCGATGCACACTTGCCGATGTATCAAAAGGTCGCCGGGCGACCCTCTGAACGCTCAGAGTACCTCCCGGCGGCCGCTCGAAAGATCGCACCGTTGCGGTATCGTCTACGTTGCATCTTCGGGGGACCTCCCTGTTCTGCAATTTACTGTTATTTCCTGCACTCTGAAGTGGGTTCGACGCTGATCCGTCGTGGATTCGACAAGAAGTCGACACGGACCCAACGCGCTCGACACAGATTCGACACGGATTCGACGCGGACCGCGGCGCGGACTGACAAGCCCCACCGAAGATGCGACATTGTTGTCAGCCCGCGGTGGCAGCCTGCATGACAGCTGGAGTTGCTGCCTCCCGCTATTCCCCAGGCCAGCCACAGCCCCGAGAGAGCAGTTTTTTGCCCAACTACCAGCCATTGAGGACGAATCGGGCTAGACGCCCTACCAGCTCCTCATCCACCTCTCCTCCCAACTGTTTCATGTTTCTCGCACTGCATGTACCCAGACAAGCCAGATTCTCGAGGCCACGGCCTTACTCACCAGGTCTGGGCTAGGCCTGGGCACTGTCCGCAACGGTGGTCGCATCACATCGCATCGCCTTGAGAGGGCTTCGTCGCAGCGGCTCCCCCCCGCGGGGAGCGAACAATGGCAGAAGCATCGGCGCTGGAGCCTTGGATCGGCCTCTGGCGCCGCCCCCGGCGCGCTCCGCGCGCCAGGGAGGGGGGTCCAGCGCCGATCCAAGAAGTCCGCGCGGACCTCCGGGCGTTCGTGCTTATGCCATTGTTTCTTCCCCGAGCCCAGCCCCTGAGGTCTCCAAACAGGCACGCCTCAGGCACCCCGGCGGCCCCCGCTCGTGCCAAGCCGTGCCACATAGTGCTCAGGGCCAGGATCTGGCGAATGGGGCCGTCGTCTCCTCGGGGGGAGGCCCGACATCGAAGGAGGCACTGCACAAACGTAGACTTTCCGAGGCCCGCGCGGACTTCCTGAATCGACGCTCGACCCCTCCCGCCAGCGCGGAGCGCGCCAGGGGCGGCGAATGGGGGCTCAGCCTCGGTCCAGAAGGCCGCGCAGACCTCCAGAAGTTTGTGCTTGGACGCTGGAGGGCGTTCGCGTGACCGGACGGCCCCGCAAGCGCTACGCAGATTTATGTTGCTGCTGTGTCTGTTCAGCTAGCCCGACTGCCGTCCGGGGATCGGAGAGGGAAAATGTACCCGTACCGCTACCCTTCCCTCGTTCTCTTCCTTCTTGGGCCTCCTTGAGGACCATGGTCGCCACCGCTGCATTCGCCTCGAAGTCCTGGCCAGATCGCACCCCCGGAGCGTCATCGGTGCCTTTTGTTTTGGTTTCCCCGCACGCGCGCGGGACCGCCCGCGGCGCGGCACCCCGTCCTGCCCTGCAGAGCGGCAGGGCCGTTGTTTTGGCACAGTCGGGGCCCTGAAGAAGGAACCCTTTTCGTTGGGGAGGGGCTCCGCGTTCCTTACGTGTTTCGCAGCCTGCCTCAGGTTTTCCTTATGTTTTCGGTCGGAAATCGAAGTTTACCTCATGGAAAAAGGAGCCTCGTTCCTTATTTTGGGTTCCTTAGGTCAAGGCCCCGACTATACCGCTTTGTGAGATGTGGGCCAGAATCGGAACCGGAATGGGAACCGCAACGGTAACAAAACCATTGCGATGGAACGACTGAACGGCGACGGAGCCAGAAGTGATTGCTTGACAGCGTACGTTTTGTGCTGTTCGATGTGCTTCCGGAGGTCCCGACCCCGTCCCTCGGGGTGGCCTCTGATTTTAGACACCCTACGTTTTGTGGTGTTCGATGTGTTTCCGGAGGTCCCGACCCCTTCCCTGGGGTCAGTGTTTCGTCGCGGGCCCACCTTCGATGGCCCCGGGGTCAAATCACTGCCCCCAGGGGCCGAAAGCAGGGGAAAACACCAGGATTGAAGGTCACACCTCGTCGGAGATCCCTGACAGGAGGCTCCTCCACGCGCTCAGCTTCGAGACGGACCGCGAGTCCTTCAAGCCGTCGTGGGTGCTGCAGAGTGCGCCGCCGCCCGGAGCCGCCTCGAGCGCCGCCCCAGTGGGCGCCGGGCTTGCGAGAGCCTGAGTGTCACCTCACCTTCGGGGGCAACGATATGGGGGGGATAGGCAGAGGGGGGGAGGCATCGACCCCCAATCGCCCATTGATCGCCGATGGGGACCCGATAGCACCATCCCGCCCAGGAAGGTGCGGATTCACTATCGGGTGCCTATCGCCGATCTATCCACAATGTATCGCCGGTGCCAGGTCGATGCAACCTCCCCTATGCCTATCCCCCCCTATCGTTCCCCCTCTGACCTGCCGCCACGGCGCGATACCCGCGAACGCCAGGTCTGGGGAGGATTTCCTTCCCCTCCCCGCCGCTCTTGTCCTCTCTCCTCCTGGCCTTCCTTCCTGGCGCCGCCTGGAGCCCCTTGGCTCGCTGCCCCTCCCTGTTAATGCGGACTCATGTGTGCACCCGTGCACTCGAGGAGGAGGAGGAGGAGGAGGAGGAGGAGGAGGAGGAGGGAGAGGAGGAGGAGGAGGAGGAAGAGGAGGAGGAGGAGGAGGAGGAGAAGGAGGCGGAGGAGGAGGAGGAGGTGGAGGAAGGAGAGGAGGAGGAGGATGAAGGAGAGGAGGAGGAGGAGGAGGAGGAGGAGGAGGAGGAGGAGGAGGAGAAGGATCTTCCACTCCCCCTCCTCCTCCTCCTGCTCCTCCTCCTGCTCCTCCGCCTCCTCCTTCTTCTCCTCTTCCGTGATTGTCCCTCTTCCTGTTTCGTCTTGCCTTTTTACTTCTTCCCTACTCCTCCCCCTCTGCTTCCCTCGGAGGTCGAGGGCTGGAGCAGCGGGCCTCTTTTCAGGCGGGCGAGAAGTGATGCTACAATCGCCCCCCGCACGAGTGAGGGGAGGGGAGGGGGTCGGGGCCGTCGGCAGTCTTTGAGGCTCTGAAGAGGTCCGCCGCAGGCGCCGAGCTTTTGCCAAAGCGGTGTGGGTGGGTCGTGGGTGGGTCGCGGGCGGGTCGTGGATGGTTCGCAGGCTGGTCGCGGGCGAGGACGATGACAACAACAAACAACAAACGGACAACACGCAACAATAACGAACATTTGAAGACTGTTCGATCTATTTTTGCCCGCGTGCCATTCAACATGTATATCCAAATCCTTCGATACCCTCCCATTTCGTGTGGTTGGCGCAGCCCCTAGAACAGAGGAAGGGACGAGGGAAGGGACGACGGGGAGAGAGAAGTATGGTGCACCAGAGAGATTAGCAGGGACGGGTAGGAGCAGAAAACAAGCGGCATAACCAGATGGGAGGGTAGGGCGGGCAGACCCGAACGGGGGTGGTCGGGCGGGCCGGCCCAGACGGCGGGGTCGAGCAGGCGGGCCGCTGAAGCGTCAGTCCTTCATGGACCGCGTTGGAAGGTTTTCCGATAGCGCGATTCCGATGTAAAACGAGAGAGCCCAGAGCGAGAGAATGATATCTAAGTGTTGGGGGCGCGGCGTTTCTATGTATACATTGCGAGGAAGTGCCGCACGAGAGCACGATTCTTGCATACATCGTAAGGATGTCCCGCGAGAGAGAGCAATATTCTACAGGCTTACGCCACATCCGCCGACCCCTTGTTCTCTTTGTTCGCTCAGGTATTAATTCCCCACATCCAAAGTGGGGTTCTTGTTCCCCACATCCAAAGTGGGGTTCTTGTTTTCTCTGGACACCCCGCGCAGGAACAGGAACACACACACACACCCACTCACACTCACTCACACTCTCTCATCATCAACCTCATCAGCATCATCGATGATGCTCTCTCACATGCTTAGTCACTCACATACTCATCATCATCATCATCACATCATCATCCTCATCATCGGCATCATCCTCATTCAAACATCATCATCGCCACCACCACTCACAATCAATCATCATCCTCTTCACCACTCATCTTCACCACCACTCATCATCCTCATCCTCATCATCGTTGAGTAAATTGTGAGGAAGTCTCAGGCGGGAGCCCCCTCCCTATGGGGCCCGCAGATCATGTTGGTAATCCGAGCGGGTCATCGGAACCCTGTAACTGTCGTCACTGTTGGGCTCCCCAGGCCTGAAAATGGAGGAAATCTCAGGCGGGAGCCTCGTCTGTGAGTGACTTGGGAGGAAGTCTCAGGCGGGAGCTCCCTCCCTATGGGGCCCGCAAATCATGTTGGTAATCCGAGCGGGTCATCGGAACCCTGTAACTGTCGTCACTTTTGGGCTCCTCAAGCCTGAATTTGGAGGAAGTCTCAGGCGGGAGCCTCGTCTGTGAGTGAATTCTGAGGAAGGCTCAGGCGGGAGCCCCCTCCCTATGGGGCCCGCAGATCATGTTGGTAATCCGAGCGGGTCATCGGAACCCTGTAACTGTCGTCACTTTTGGGCTCGTCAAGCCTGAATTTGGAGGAGGTCTCAGGCGGGAGCCTCGTCTCTGAGTGAATTGTGAGGAAGTCTCAGGCGGGAGCCCCCTCCCTATGGGGCCCGCATATCATGTTGGTAATCCGAGCGGGTCATCGGAACCCTGTAACTGTCGTCACTTTTGGGCTCGTCAAGCCTGAATATGGAGGAAGTCTCAGGCGGGAGCCTCGTCTGTGAGTGTACTGCGAGGAAGTCTCAGGCGGGAGCCCCCTCCCTATGGGGCCCGCAGATCATGTTAGTAATCCGAGCGGGTCATCCCAAACCTGTAACTGTCGTCAATGTTGGGCTCTCGCGCTGCCAGAACGCAGTTCCCAGGCAACATGTTGGACGCAACAAAAAAGTTTTTGGGCTTCTCAGGTCGCCGAGGTGCTGCGACAGGGCGCCGAAGGCGCCGACGACGACGGCCAGGCCGAGGCGCGGGCGCGGAGGTTGCTGATGTTCAGGCCCAGCGAAAGGGAGTTCACATGGCAGAGCTCGGGGGCGCACAGCGTGCGCCGCTCGGGGTGCACCCTGACGCACGCGTCCTACCTGACCTCCACGCTGTCGCAGGGCCAGACGCTGCGCAAGGGCGTCACCATCGACTGCGCGAGAGACGAGGACGCTGGCCGCACGGGCATGTCGGACGAGCAGTGGTGGCTGCACCTCTACGTCATGTTCTCCCGCGCCACGTGCATGCGGAACATGCTGATCCTGCGGCCGCCGCCGCGAGAGTTCCTGGAGTGCGGGCCGCCGGCGTCCCTGCGGAAGGCGCTCCTGGAGTTCGACAAGAGAGCGGTTTTGTCCAGGGCGGAGGCGAAGCAGCTCGCGGCAGAGCTGGGCTTCGTGCTGCCTTCCGCCTGAGCGCGGCTGCGCCTCGCTCGAAGCCCGCGGGGTTGTCCCAACGGCTTGGTCTTGCGCGCCAACGGCTCGCGGGGTTGTCCCGACAGCCTGGCCCGCGGGGTTGTCCCAACGGCTGCGCGACGTGACCAGTAGAGAACGCGCCTGTGCTGGCCGTGGCGGCGACGGCGCCGAGGAACATCGACATGCGCGCTCATGCAACAGGAAGGGGAGGAGGTGGCGGGGCGCGGAACAAACAGGGGGGCGAGGATGGGGACAACGTAAGGAGTGGAAGGGGGGCCCGCGCCAAGGCGAGAGGAAATATACGCAGAAGAGACAGCCAGGACGCCTCACCAACCACGAGGACGACGGTGATGGCTTTTTCCAGATTCGCCCAGAGGATTCTTATGTGGGGTTCTTCCGTCGGAGTAATTTTCTCTGGACACCCCGCGCAGGAACAGGAACACACACACACACACACTCACACTCACTCGCACTCTCTCATCATCAACCTCATCAGCATCATCGATGATGCTCTCTCACATGCTTAGTCACTCACATACTCATCATCATCATCACTCGCACTCTCTCACACGCTCACGAACATCATCATCATCATCATCATCATCATCATCGGCATCGGCATCATCCTCATTCAAACATCATCATCGCCACCACCACTCACAATCAATCATCATCCTCTTCACCACTCATCTTCACCACCACTCATCATCCTCATCCTCATCATCGTTGAGTAAATTGTGAGGAAGTCTCAGGCGGGAGCCCCCTCCCTATGGGGCCCGCAGATCATGTTGGTAATCCGAGCGGGTCATCGGAAACTTGTAACTGTCGTCACTTTTGGGCTCGTCAAGCCTGAAAATGGAGGAAGTCTCAGGCGGGAGCCTCGTCTGTGAGTGAATTGGGAGGAAGTCTCAGGCGGGAGCTCCCTCCCTATGGGGCCCGCAGATCATGTTGGTAATCCGAGCGGGTCATCGGAACCCTGTAACTGTCGTCACTTTTGGGCTCCTCAAGCCTGAATTTGGAGGAAGTCTCAGGCGGGAGCCTCGTCTGTGAGTGAATTGTGAGGAAGGCTCAGGCGGGAGCCCCCTCCTTATGGGGCCCGCAGATCATGTTGGTAATCCGAGCGGGTCATCGGAAACTTGTAACTGTCGTTACTTTTGGGCTCGTCAAGCCTGAATTTGGAGGAAGTCTCAGGCGGGAGCCTCGTCTCTGAGTGAATTGTGAGGAAGTCTCAGGCGGGAGCTCCCTCCCTATGGGGCCCGCGGATCATGCTGGTAATCCGAGCGGGTCATCGGAATTCTGTAACTGTCGTCACTGCTGGGCTCCTCAAGCCTGAATACGGAGGAAGTCTCAGGCGGGAACCTCGTCTGTGAGTGAACTGCGAGGAAGTCTCAGGCGGGAGCCCCCTCCCTATGGGGCCCGCAGATCAGGTTGGTAATCCGAGCGGGTCATCGGAAACTTGTAACTGTCGTCAATTTTGGGTTCTCGCGCTGCCAGAACGCAGCTCCCAGGCCACATTTTGGACGCAACAAGGAGGTTGTTCCCCACATCCAAAGTGGGGTTCTTGTTTTCTCTGGACACCCCGCGCAGGAACAGGAACACACACACACACCCACTCACACTCACTCACACTCTCTCATCATCAACCTCATCAGCATCATCGATGATTCTCTCTCACATGCTCAGTCACTCACATACTCATCATCATCATCATCACTCGCACTCTCTCACACGCTCATGAACATCATCACCATCA